TAATTTTTGCTTAAAATCAAAATAATGCAAACAATGTCCAAAATTTCACACAACAAAAAGAATCTAAGCTTTCAAAAAATTTGCCTGAGCAGCTTTTTAAGATTCTGTTAGTTGAATTACGGAATTAGAAATAGAGACTAATGCTTTTAAAAAATGTAACGATGTTAAAAGGATTATAATTGATTTTCAGGAGTCATTTTTACCTTAATTACTCACTGACTTTGTGGTACAGAAATCAACCTAGCTATTCTATTTATTTAAAATTCAAAAACAACAAATTTGAACCGTGTTTGGCAATAATTTTTGCTTCCTTCCAAGGAGGACAGCGGAATTATTGTAGAGGATCATATTGTCCCAATAGGTTGTTTTATGAATTTAGGTTTGATTCTTTACAAGACAAAGATAAAAGAGGATGCAAAACTTCCTCCAAAATATCGCTTCTCTGGTTTATTTGTGACGTTGCTTCTTCTGCTGCCGCCACAGCAGCATCAATTTTCTCGTCCAAAGGTACGTGTTTTCTCTTTATATCTATCGTTTCCATCTGGCTTTTGAATATCATGTTAACATCCAATTTTATATGCACCAATTCCATTTCAGCAGAAGAATTCCACTAGAAATTGGCCAGCCATGTGAGTTTTATATTCCAAAAAAAATACCCCACCCCCTACTGTGAGAGTTTTGGCAGTTTCCTGGCGATTCTGCTTCTGTACACATAGCTCTGCTATTTTATATGAGAGTCAAATCGTATTTGTGTGTGAAAATTATTTCGATGAGAAGATGTTTGTTGAAATGACATATCATTCTCTGCTTGATCCGAGGTTTGAAGTTTCGACTTCGGGAAAGAGTGTGTCCAGAGAATGATTTAAACAAGATTTTTTGGTAAGTAAATGGACACTTTTCCTATGAATCAAAGGTATAGTGGTTGGATTTTTTCCAGAAAGGTTATAGTGGTTGGATTTTAGCGTTTCCAAATACCAGCACTGATCATATACACCTTCTGCACATCTTTTGGATTTAAGAAATTAGATCAAATAGAGAAACTGATTACTGGAACTGCTTAGGAATATGGTGAGTAATTTTTTCTTCAATTGGTACTGTAGACATTTGGATTTTTCAGAGTACTGCGGAGGCCGACGGGCTTCTTGGAAATTCAAGTTAGGACCACGGATTCGGAAGAAGATCATCAACCCGCTTCTCCAAATTCTTCGAAGGTCATTTTCGTTTAGGATTATGAATGCAATTTTAAAGATTAGTATTATTTTTTTTTAGTGGAAATGACCTTTGGTTGATTTTGGTTTACTTAGTTATTTCATAAATTAGTTGTTTTCATTAACAAATTCATTGGGGGCGGACCCTAAGCAATAGGCATTTTCAAGGGATTTAGGGATTACCTTAGGCGTCTTCCCCATCTGTGGTATGTTAACATTTCATTGATGTTAAAAACAAATTCTATTGAGATTGGCTTTTAAGTTATGTTTCTTTTAATACTTTGCCAGTTAATTTCTCTTTTTTTTACAAGCACAAATAGAAAATGGAAGCTTATTGAGTTCATTTCCGATGTAACTCAGTCGTTCAATAGCTCATTTGACTCTGATAAAATTACTTCTCTAAAAATAGTGTTCACTTCGTAAACTCAGTGGGAATAGCTAAGTGTATCCGTAGTATAAGTAGCTACATTTTCTAGCACATAGTATAGAATAGAGATGTAAAAAATGCTGATTTTAGTTGTGTAATATCAAGTTTTAACTCCCCAAATTTAGAGAGTCGAACTCACTCTCGAAAATCGAATGTTACTAGCAGGTAGTCCTTGCCTGGTTGAGATGCTTACCTATTGTAAATCTTGCATACGGGAACAGGGAATTCTTTCATTAGTTTGAATTTTGGATTTAGAATTTCAAGATCTCCGAACTGAATAATATTTGTGAGCTGATTTACAACTCTCATCTAATTTTGTATTTACCAAAAATCTC